CTCTTGGTCTCTAGATGGAGACAACATATGATGAAAAGGGATTGAATTGATATTTTTTTATCATTTAATCTTTACTTCATGCATAAATTTAATTATAAGAAAAAATCATTGCCACAATCACACAACAAATTTTAATAGTGATTATGTCTTCTTAACCTATTTTTACTTTTTGAGGACTCCATGCTTGTTTCTATTAAATATTTAGTGATAAAGAGCTAAATTTGAGCTCAATAGCTTCTCTCTTTCACAACTCCAACTAAATTGTAGATTTAAAAATGTAGTTCTATAATATATGGCTTTAGGTGGTCAAAACAAAAGAAGCTCCCTACTTCCCAAAGAGGTCAAGGAAAAGAAACTTTTCCTTTTCTTCTCAAACTTCAAGTTATGGGAAAAATTTACCACCTACAATTTTGATCTAAATAAGATGAAAAGATATTACCTCATAATAAATGTTTCACCTAATGTTTGATATTGATGTATTAGTGTGTAAAATACAATTATTTTTCTTCCTTGCATTATTCTTCTTCAACTCTTGGTTGAATGGATCATGAATAGTAACATAGATGATCTCTTTCTTCTTTTTTCTGTAGATAACTAGTGCAAAATGATTAAAAGGGCATCAAATGTAGTGGTAGAATTAAAGAATTTAATAACTAACTTTAAGAGTATTCAAGATGAAGTGAGATATCTACTTCAATGTCTCTTCTCCATGATATAAAAAATATCTTTTTTCTTTGTCATAAACACTAAAGACATTTCATTTTTAGGGATTTTTTGACTCCTCAAGTTTCTCTCTTCCTCATCTAATCCAGTCTTTTTTCTCTCTCAAATTTGAGTGTGTTTTCTCTCCATTTGTAGCTTATCTTTCTACAAATCAGAACAAGAGCACTAAGTTCATCATATTGGACATTAATTGATGTAGAAATCACAGTCACAATACAAGAGCTACATGGATGAGATTATTTGTAACAGTGATGTTTGTCATTGTAGCAAGAGATGAATGTATTTGTGTGAGGACGTTGAGAAGATATAACTCTATTAATTGTATGTATGTTGAAAGGTAATCCTTTCAACCCCTCACAACTTACTGTATTAATTTTTAATTAAAATAAATATGAATATTGGAGCATTAAGATTAGGATGACTTTTATTTCTCTAGAATTACTAAAGTTGGTCAAGAATTACAATGAAGATATGGATAATCCTAAAGAAATCTTTCAAAACTTGACAAAAAAGATGAAAGTCTCTATTAGTGTTACAAAAAGATATATTAGATGTAATTTTTTATTGGATTGTAATGCCATAAAGTCTTGATAAGTGTGATATTTTTGATAAATAGATTTCATGAGGATAGTAAGGTTATATAGTAAAACATTAAATTCTCCATTGAAAATTTGAAACACTCTTTATAAAATTAGGGGAATCTATTCAATATTTTATTTTAGTTTCATTTAACAAAGCTAAAATAAGATTATTTTAAAAAAATATACTGGAAAAATATTTAAAAAATGTGGAATCTTTATCCCTTTTTAAAAAATAATATATATATAGATTGGTGAGTTTAAGAACCTATATATTTTCATTTAAAATATAAATATATAAGTTATTTACTAGCACATGAAGACTGATGGATAAGTTCACAAAAAAAGTCACTTAAACATACATTTTAGGAAAAAACATTGAAATTGTGAATGCTTTTTCAATTAGTGACATGAGAATATAAATCAAATAGAGTTTATTATACTCATGGCCATGAAAGTGATTATGTTAAATTGGATTTTTTTACACATGAGGCATGATGGTTATAATAAATATAACTAGTAGTTAAATTATCAAATAGTGTAATGTCAAATTTGTACAAAAAAAGAATGTATTGAAACTTATTGTTGGGAGAAGATAAAAGAGAAGTAAAATATTATAGAAGTAAATTCTAAGATGATATAATGTAATTTTTGTGAGTATAGACATCCTGAAACATACTTCTACTATAAGAAAAATAACCAAGTAAATATTGTAGGAGAAAATGATAAAAGTCAATTTATTTCTTATTTATGTGACTCCACTAATAGGTAAATATAATGTATAATGTTTACATAGTGTGAATTTTTTATAAAGTCTTTATAAATGTATAAAATAATAAGCTTGAATTGGAGATAGAAAAAACATTCCAATTGAAGTTATTATAATCATAACTCTTGATATAAAATTATTTAAGAAATTGATACATGATGAAAATTACGTTCCAAAATTAGTACACAATCTACTCATTGGGGATCAATTGATGAAATAGGGTTACATTTTCATTTTGAAGATGTTATGTGTTATTGAAAATAGCAAAAGTTGAGCATCCTAAGTTTATTTCTAAAATTAGATAAAGAATTTTGCCCTTTGATACTTCAAGATTTGTGGATTTTGGAATGATTATGAGATAGAATGATTGTTTTTGATATTTGTGTTATGGTAATTTTATATTTTTAATAATTAAAATTATTACATAAAAAATATGTAGTTCTTGACTTGTCTCTTATTACAACTGCTAATGATGTTTGTGAAGTATATGTTTAGACAAAAAACATCATTTCCTATTTTTCTAACAAAAAATCTTGGAGAGCAAGGTTGCCTTTTGGGTTATTAAATGTTGATATTTATGGTCCAATTATGACTCTACTATTGAAAAAAATAGATATTTTATTAGTCATCGGTGATTTTATCTACATAAGTTTGACATACTTTCTAGTTCAAAAATCTTATATTTGGAAGATTTTAAATTTTAGAAGTGTCTAAAGAAACCTATAAAGGGTATGTTAGAAAGACTCTTTGAAAAAAATCAAGAGGGAGAATTTTATATCATGAATTTCATTTTTTTTTTGTATGGAACATGATATCCATGTCTCCCTATAAAAGAAATAACATAAATATTTAGTGATCAATATCTTTCAAATGATTTTCTTCTAATTTATGTAAATTTTTATGAAGCTTATGTTAGGCCATGTAAGAGTGATGTGAGGGTCACATAAGAGTTAAGATATCATGTAGGGTAAAAAGGAATTATTAGGGTTAAGATAGAATTAGAAATAGGAAGATGAGATTTTTGACAAGTTGTGGCTTATGGAGGAGAGAGATAACCCTCTAGAAAGATCACTATGAAGTAGAGATTGGGTTTCTTCTTGAATTAGATTGCTCTACCTTTTTTGTGTCTTAGAACTCTACTTTTCTCATTCTTTAGATTCTACTATTGAGTTCTTATCAACTAGTGTATGAGTTGGTTTGATGACGTCTAAAAAACAACAAAATGAGATGTGAAATGGAGAGTTGTCTACACTAATTGAGTGAATGTTGAAGGGTTTGGAAGCCCATATGTAGAGAATGGTGCAAATGATGCAGCATAAATGTATTAAATGGGATACATGGATGAAGATTGGGAGAGGTTGATGGCTAATGTGGATCATCAAGGCAAAAATATATTTTTCTATAAGTATGTTATTTTGAAGATAAGTCATTGGTGTGATTTCATTAAACATGACATCGATACTTTATGACACTAGGGGTACCTAAAATGAATAATAATTGAGATGTTTGAAACATCATAAGTCAAGCCTCTACAATTTAATCCTGGACATGAAGTAATATGAGATTGTGGTAGAATTCATGAATAACTTTGAAATGTCTTTGAAAGAACTTTCCAAAGAAGTGTTGGAGAGAACTTTCAAACCTAAAGATCTATGCGGAATACAGTCTACACAACTTGATCAGATTAAAATTAATCATGAAGAATACTTAACTTGTGAAATAGAAGAAAAAAATAATTAGGTTTATCAAAGACCTAAATGATCAAAAGACCTAGACCCAACCTCTATGAGGTGTGAAGCATGTTCTTTAATTGGGGAAGGGTTAATAATTTATATCAAAATTTTGTGTAAAACCCTTGAATTGATGATGACCAATACCAAATATAGCTACAAAAAGGGGCTTATGATTCTATAACAATAAAAAAATATAGTCGACTACACACTCATAAAGGAGATGAGAAATGGTCCCAGTTAACAAAGATGATCAATATATCAGACTTAATTCAAGGAATAAATAATTGAAGAATCAAATCAGGCAAAAGATTGATTTGATTAAATGTTGATATTAGAGGGATGCACCCAAACCTGGTCAACTAGGCAGGTCTTCTCTATTTTGGCAAATAGTAGTGGCTCTATGTGTGAACCGGCAAAAAGAGGGCCAATACATTAAAGAGTGCTCACATGATTGTTAGTCTAAAGGCTAATAGATGAAAATATTGAATATTCAGTAGAAAAAAAAAATTTGTTAAATGAAAATTTAAAATTGTGTGTGCTCCATGAAATTAGGGCCAAATATTGTCTTGCCAAGATTAATGGGCCTTTTGGCCTATTCGACTTCTGATAAATGGGCCAAGTCGCCCTCAAAGCCATCTCTTTGGAGCCGGGTCCAGGAGCCCCGTGTCCAGAGCCATCTCTCCTAAGGATATATTTTCCAAAGATTTTAAAGCGCAGCTTTAAGCATGATGAGTGGGACCCACTTCTTATATGTAGAAAATACGATGGATTATTTTTTAGATAATTATACTGCTGAAAAGTTAGCTAGGAAATTGGTACTGTTGAGGATAAGGCGGCGCTCCTTATAAAATACGATGAATGGCCGAATATTAAAATGGCAAGCTGTGGGTGGACGATTCCCGTAAGGCGGAGGCGAAAGCCCGAATCCGAGAATCGGAGACTGATTGTTCCGCCGTCACGCGATTCCGCGTTCGGCGAAGGCCCCGTTTGTTTGGATTCCGAGCGTTGGCAATCGGCTTCCTGGCCGAGAGGGGTGCTCCTAAATAAGCGTCTGGTGGGCAGCGAGAGGACAAGGCACCTGCCTGGTACGCGGTGAAACGACGCCGCTCTCTGTCTCTCTGTCTCTCTCTCTCTCTCTCTCCGCGCCAGTCCCCCATCATACATAGGAAGAAGGGGAGCAGGCGAAAAGACGAAGAAATGGGGTGCCTGCCGGTGTCGGAGCTGAGTTTAGAACTGAGGCCGCCGTCTACGCCGCGGGCCACCGTGGCGCCGTTCCTGAGCGCCGCCGCGGCGGCAGCTGGCGGCGGCGGAGGGCCAGGAAACGGGAAGGCGACGGAGCTGGATGAGTACCTCCGCGAGCTCGAGGAGGAGCGCCGGAAGATCGAGGTTTTCCGGCGGGAGCTCCCTCTCTACGTCATCATCCTCAACGACGGTTGGTCTTCTGTTCACCGGTCGATGACCCCTGATTTTCCTTCATTTGTTTGTGGGTTTCTCTCAAAACAGCGGCGTGATTCTGGCAGTGATCGGAGATCTGAAGGAGGAGCTGGCCCAGCGGAAATCGAGGAAGAAGCAGGAAGACGATGGGAGGATGAACTGGATGAGCTCCACCCAGCTATGGTGCGATAATTCTTCCACCACCACCGCCAGCACCGCCCTCCACAGCGGCGTGAGAGCTCTTTCCCCGCACTCCACGACAGACACACCGCCGCCGCAACCCTTCCTCCTTCCCCTCGCCGCCTCCTCGGCGGCGGAAAAGCTGGCACCTCCTAGGAGCAGCTCGGGGTTGAAGCCCAGGAGATACTGGTCGCCGGAGCTCCACCAGCGGTTCGTCGACGCCGTGGAGCATCTCGGGGGATGGAAAGGTGGGTTACCCGCTAGATCCACCACTGTCTCCTTCCCCCTCCGAGGAAGCTCTCGTCTGATTCCCTGCTTTGAGTTTTCTCCTCTTCCACAGTGGCGACGCCCAAGAAAGTCAAGCAGCTTATGAAGGTGGAAGGCCTCACCAACGACGAGATCAAGAGCCACCTGCAGGTTTGTTCAGCTTTCCGGGCCATCAGGCCATGCAATCCCTTCTCGGAGCTTAACCCAATTACCGTGACTCTCTACCTTCAGAAATTCCGCCTCCACGCCCAGAGATCGGCGGCGGCGCCATCTTCGGCGAACCCGGCCGCCACCGCAGGCAGAAGCTCATGGAAAGAGCGCGAACGGGGGAACTGGAGCTGATAGCCAGAGGCAGAGCCGCGAAGAGGGAGCTGTGGATAGCAGGAGATCAGGAGGTAGCAACTACGAGGGATTTTTCTCACATTGCGGTCATCGCTTGTTTCTGGCTGAGGGCTCGAGCAGATTTTCCCCCGGATCAAATAAATTATTTTCCCTGGTTTAAACCAGTGTTTTATTTTTATTATATATTGATATATATAGACATCCATCATGGTTAGGCCATGTACGGACCCATCAAGCAGCGCTCCGTTTTTTTTTAACCCTTTTATTTATTGATAGGATTTCGTTGACTTAATCGGGGCACACGGAAGCAAACACGTGACCATTATACATTTATCAGCCCCAACGTCTGCGTGTTGGGTTATCCAAGGGTTGACCACGCCCCCCCCCCCAATTTCTACCAAAATACGAAATAAATGGGTAAAAAAGTAATTCTTTCATATGCTATTGGGTTATATAATTTTTATAAGTGGGTATTTATCTTGGACTATATTTGATTGTTTGTCGAATCGATGGGCCCACTCCAACGGTGGTAGATCGATGATCTCCATAATTTTTTTCCTAATTATAGAAATATATATATTAAAAATAAATGAGTAAATAAATGTATGCACGAAATGATGACGAAGGTGACGATGGATGTGACGCCATCACCGTACCAGGCCGGGGATGGCCAGAGCGGGGCGACGCATATCCATCCAGGGGTGCTTCTAGACGGACGTTCAAAGCGCCGCCAAACGGGAAGCGGCGAGTCGATGGCGAGAGGCAAAAGTGGGGCCCATGTCGGGAGCATGACCTGGCGAAAGCTCTGAACCGCACCAAGATCCGGTCGCCACCGTCCAAGCTGGCGGGGCCCACTTTGCCGGCCAAAACCCCCGTGGGCCCGTTAGGCGTCAATCTCGAAGCCCCATTTGCCCGCCGATAGCGTCTCTCACCGCCGCGTCAGCAGAGACGTCAAATCTTCGAAATTATCGAAACTAAAAAATATGTTTTTTAATTATTTTAATTTTTTTTTAGCTTAGACTGAAAAATCCCCCGAGTTGTCTCATGGCATGCTAGATGTCTCGGACCATCACCCTACTCGAAAATTAGGCGTAGATTAGTTGAATGACGAGCAGTTCTCGTGGTGGGTCAAACCTTCATGTTGTTAGTTGTCTACCCCCGTTGAAAAGAGCGGGTGAGCCAGACCTTGTGAATGTCTACCAGGGTGATTGGAGGATCGGGGCGTTGACATATCTGGTCAACTTAATGACGACCGACTTCTGATCTGACCGGATCTTGGGCACCTTAGCGGACGGGGTAGGGGCAGAGTGGGAGAGGCTCAGGCCCAATAAGTAGGTGGCGGAGAGAAGAACTGGGCCAGATTTTTCAGGCCCATCAATTAACTAATATGCACCGGATGGTATCCGTAGTCTTTGTTTCATCAAAAGAATGAAATCAACGATACTAATATTATGATATGGGTTAGGTAATTGAACCCGACGTGAATCGAACACGCAACCTTCTGATCTGGAGTCAGACGCGCTACCATTGCGCCACGGATCCATATAGATCATGCACAACATACAAACTCTAGTAAGAAGGTAAATGGATTGGGCCGTCAGAGAATGTGGCCCGGTAACTCCATACCCGAGTCTCGTGCCCTGCGGAAATCCGCTCGGTGCCGTCTCGCAAGAAGAAAGAGGAGGGAGGGAGAAGCCCCTTACCAGGCTGAATCAGGATCTTAATATTGGTCTGTCTCTCCTATCAGGCCCACATTGCCGCTGTTATTCGGGTAACGGATCCAACCGAACCGACTGGGCTCGTGGGCCCCATCCCCTCGTCCTGATGATCTCCCGCGGTGGCCTGCAGAGGAATGAATCCACGGAGGGCTCTGTGATTCCGCTCGCTCTCGATCTCCGGCTCCGGCGACTCCCACCGTTGCTCATCGATCCTGGCTCGGGTACAGCAGAGGTCTGCGGATCCATCCCTCTCGGAACTTGGGTGCCTCGGGCCCTTTGGATGCCTCCTCGGTCGACGTGATGAACTGCGAGGTGTGCCATCTGAAGGAACTGGTGAGCTTGATGTTTAATCCATATTCTGTGTTATGTAAAGATCAAATTCGCTATTCGAATCTGTGATATCTTTTTGAAGGGAAGATTAGCTTCGATCCAATAATTCATGTCCGTGTCCTGGCGTGGGGGGATTTCCCTTTGTGAACATCGTTGACCGACCGTGTGGTTTGCCAATGCAGGAGGTGGAGTTGTTTCAGGTCAGAGAAGTACTTCGCTGTAAGTTCCTTCGCAGACCAATTCTTCGCAATAGATATTTCTATTGGCTTCAGTTGTATGAGCCAAGAGAACAACTGAATGTACCGTACCTTTTCATGTGCTAAATTATTTTATACGAGCTCTATCTCAGAGAAGGAGAGAAGTTTTATTTTTCCATACCAGTATCAGTTCATTAATGCTTTATATTAATATATTCAATTTTGACATCTCATGTGGACAATGTTTTTCCGCCATTATCATTCCTCAAGATAAGTCTTCCTGGCCATGACGCGGCGATGAAATTTATCAGTTGCTTTCAGTTGAAGTTTTAATATGATCGTGATTACTAATAATATTTTTATTTTTCTTCCTGGTTGAAGGGGTTGTTTCAATTGGCAACTAACGAAATGTTAGTTTCTCCTGTAAATCCTAGAAATGCTATAGGAAATGTCTAAATTTTCATTGTAGGTAGAGTAACAGCTGTGGAAATTTAAATTTATGTCTGATTTTTATACATTCTATGGTGGAAAAATGGTTCTTTATGTTCCTTGTCAGTTTCATGCACTTGCTTTTCTCTCCACATCATAGACATCCTACATGCAGTACTGACTAACATACTTTCAAACATAGATTTTTTTTTTTGGATGTTCCTCTCTCTCTCTCTCTCTCTCTCTCCATAGATTATATGTACGACTGATACCTCTGGCATTCTTTTTCCCACATTTAAATGTTTATACGATGCAAATCATTTTGCAGGCATACTGCATACAATCTTTTTTCATAGAGCTTTGAGTCTTGTTCGGCCAAAAGATGTTGACTCTGAACTTTTTGATATTACTTATGTAAGTGAATTTCAAATGTTACTTATCTAAGTAATGAGTAGTAATGAGTACCCTGTCGATTCGTTTTGTCAGTAGGTCTATCGTGCTCTTGAGTGATGTTAATCAGTATTCATTTTGCATTGTAATGGAACTGGCAAAAAAACCAGAATGCTCCCTTTTTTTTTTTTGTTCATAGTGGTGCGTTGACCTAATGATGGAAATGTTGCAATCATCTACTTTTGCAGCACGTCTCTAGTTTTTCTTGAGTTATTCTGCATAATTTCTCCTTATGCTTCTCAAATATTCAAGTTGCCTTTTCGTTGCACTGGTAATTGATAACTGTACTTCTAAAGTGTTCACTGGCTAACACCCTTGCTTCCATCATATATAATTCATGCACCTATCATCTTCTTTGACCAGGTCCCCAGCTTTATGTGGTTACTCATTCTTGTGAAGTCTTCGTCCTGTTAAGGGTCAGAGATTAAAATGTTTGGTGGAATCTCCCATTGATTATACTTCTCGGAGGCTTCCCTTTCATATTTATCTTTTTGACATTTGAGACGGTGCTTTCGGTGTTGGCAATATTGCATTTGTAGTTCCCGAGTCATCTCCTCGCTTCTTTGCATATTGTCAATTTTCTGGTTGTTTATCTCATTCAGGTACAATTTATTGTCCTAATGTTGCATGTTAGTATCTTTTCCTTTTATGCTTCCCAAGAAAACTGAGATTTTACAGGATTGCTTCCTAGAGAGAATCAGATGGGACAAGCAACATCAAAAGTAGTCTCTAAAATAAATCCTGATGAACGATAAACGAAGAAATTTATTTTATTTGAAATTTCTAGCTGATATAAATTTTCTTTGCATGAGGAAACAATGGTGCCTTGGTTGACCTGTAACTTGGATCTGCTTTCCAAGCTATCATGTTTATACCGAGATGGCTGCACCTCCTCTCCTCTTCGGGCATGGTTTGCATGTCATTTTCTTTCGCATGGGCATCATCCTATCTTGGTCTAGGACAGGGATAGAGTTCTTTAAAGCTAATTTTTTTGTATAGTTTAACTGGGTGGCATGGTCCTAAAGGACTTCGCAGGTAGGAGGACTCAGTTCATACCCCTGTAGAGATGCTCAGACTTACTGGGGCATCCAAAATGTATGAAGTATTCCCTCGTTGATGGAGCTTAAATATCTCAGGCTTCAATCCACGAGCAACTCTTTTGATCAGTTGTGTCGATTGATTATCCTCCAAGAGAATATATAGTGATGCTAGTTACACGGCCCACTGGCCGTGGGGTTTTTGACTTACTAACCTTGCATCAGGAATGTTATGAACACGGCCGTCCAAAGTGGGGGAGATTGCCCTGTGGGGAACATGTTTCAACCTTGTAGAAAGGTTTCTTATTACTCTGTGATACGATGACTAAGGTAGGCAACAGGTGAACACACCGAGAGGTAAAGTTTGAGAGAACTTTCAATCCATGGCCTAAGAGACGCTTTGCTAATTCGTTCCAGATCGAAATCACCCCCGCTCCTTCCTCTTGGAGAATCTGGATCAGCATGTCGATTATATTTTTGGCCGTTTATAGGAAAAAAACGTCGCTGTTTTCTTGCTTAAACCCGTTACACTTTCCTGATGAAGTTTTTGCAACAGGTTCAAAGTGGAGATGCTGAATTTGAGAAGAATCTAGAGGAAAAGGTCGACCATTTCTATTCATGGCTGGAGAAGCATCCAAATAAGAAAGGACAGGTTAATGATTTATTTTTTTATATATAAATATGGATGATTTCTTGTCCAATCCGTGAATATTCAAATATATATTTTTTCTATTTAAGTTACTTGCCTCGATTGAAATTGCAAATTCGCATTTATTCCTTAGCGAAGAAGAAGACAGGCAAGGCCCATAGGAGAGGCATGTCTGAGTTCTATAATTACTATGATGCTGAACAGATGCCTGCTGCACTTCAAACATCCCCTCTATATATATACTATATACATATATATATATATACACATAGCGAGAGAGAGAGAGAGAGAGAGAGAGAGAGAGATTGCTGAGAAATGTATGATGTGAAATAATATATCTTCTGTGGTAGACCATTATGGATTCATGTTTCAATTGCGCTTGCGCAGGTGCTTTTGTCCTTCTATGAGGTGAAGAACAAACAGGCGTCGTGGTTCACTGACAAGGTGGAGCGCCTCTACTGGGAGCAATGGTACATAAATGTCAACGTCTCCCGCCCCAAGCCACGTGGAGGGCAGCCGACTCCAAAAACCAGTCAACCTCAGGGAGGTACTTACCGTTTCCCTAAGAGTCCCATCCCCTCAGGATCTCCCCCTCTCAAGCCCCTCTTTACCCGCAGAAGAAGAAGCCCATCGTGTAGAACCCGGCTCCTCTATCGCTGCGCTGGAGTCGTCTCTCCGGGAGGTCTTGTTTCAGATCGTAAGATTCGTCGACGAGAAGAAGGATCACATCCCTCCGGTGCCCAACCTCGAGGGCGTCTCTTTCCCTTATGAGATCACGATCCCCAGGTTCGGACGCCCTCACCCTCACTGCTACTACGACGACGACGACGATCGCTGCTCTGTGAAAACACTGTGATTTCATTTTTATTTATTTATTTTTATTCGATTATTGCGGCGCATTTTCCGTTGTCGAGTGCTGATCTTCGTCTCTGGGATGTGACTGGGCAGCCGCTCCGACACATCGTCGTCCTTCGGCGTGGACATGATCAAGAGGCTACTCAGGTCTGGCCATCCCTCCATGCTCAGCTGATCGCTCGTCTCCTCCAAGGCTAGGTATACATACATACATACAGACATACATACATTCATACGGTTGGGAATGACGAGTGGAGCTCTCTCTTTCTCTCTCTTTCATCATCAGTAACCATCCCTGATGCGAGACCTGTTTGTGGGTGCAAGAAGCCTACTTGTTGCATGCAGAGACGGTCCACCTCGTCTCATCTGGGTAGTACATATAAGTTGAGGTCTTTACGCTGATGCCTCTGCTGGTTTCGTGGATATCTATTCGTCCTTGAGAGAGAGAGAGAGAGAGAGAGAGATCGGACGAATCGGGGATCGAGAATCTGTTTCTCTCATTTAGTTTGACCGAGAAGAAAGATGACAAGACTCGAACGCCAGCTACACCTCTCTCTGCCCCGGTGGACCCTTCCTTCCGTAGAAAACAGAGTCGGACCGGCCAGAGCGGAGTAAGGTGCGCCGCGGGGCAGCATACCGAGAGGAGAGAGAGAGAGGGTTGTTGAAGACACCGGAGAAGGGAGGGGAGGATTCACAACAAGTTTGGTTCGTCTTCGGAGGGATGCAATGCAACAGCCATCGCCATCAGCAGCGAGAAAAGGAAATAGAACCAGAGCACAATCGGGCTCCGCGGGGGCCTCCCCGCGGGGCGTCGGGAGGCCGTCAAGGCCGGGCTTTATGTACAGCAACCTCCAGCGGAGAGGAGAGGAGAGGAGAGGGGTCTGTGAGGGAGGGCGTCGGCCGCGGCGGCGCCGCCGTGTCAGGAGAAGCCCAGCGCCGCACTCTGAGAGGTACCGGAGATCTTCGCCGGTGGCCAGTACCGCAGCACAGACCTTCCGACGATGTTCTTCACGGGGAGAGGGCCCCTGCGAGAGAAACGAGAATGAAGGGGGCGGGGGTTGTTGAGTGACGACCCAGTTGTTCCTCGAGGGTTTTAATTCATGGGGCACGAAGAGCATACGTACCAGTTGTGGGAGTCGAAGCTGTTGTTCCGGTTGTCCCCCATGACGAACACATAACCTTCCGGAACCAGCTGCAGGGGGAGGAGCAGGGCACAGAGATGTCAGGGTACTCCGCGCCGCTCTAATCTGCTGGCCGAGCAGATCAAGGAGGAGGACGATGATGATGATGAGGAGGAGGAGGAGGTACCACTGGATCCATTTCGTAGGCGAGGGGCTCCAGAATGAAGTCCTCGTCCTGAGGGATGCCGTTCACATAGAGCTTTCCGTCGCGGACCTGGCCAGCACAAGCCAAGAAGGTGAGAAAGAGTGAAGGGGGGGCAGAGATTCAGAGATTGTGGAAGCAGCCGAACCTCGACGCAGTCTCCAGACTTGGCCACCACCCTCTTGATGAAGACGTCCCCGGATTTGTAGCCGATCGCCTGCCAAAAGGGAAGGGAACGGGTGAGAGATGAAACCCTTGCGATGATCGATCGTTAAACCATCGAGATGAAACCCCTCGATCTCACAGCAGCGCCTACCTGGAGAACGGGAGGAGCTTTGAAGATGACGATGTCTGTTACTTCTGGGCTCTTGAAGAGATAGGAAACCTGCAGCACCGAGGATTGAGAGAGAGGGATTCTTCAGGGAGTTAAAGAAAAGCGGGCTTCTTTCGTGGAAGATCATGCGATTGGAAACAAGTGCAAAGGGAATAATAATAATTATAAAAATTATATGATGAGGAATTGCATCGGGGGCTGTAACTTCATGTGAGAATTTCAGCCAAACGAGATGTGAGCGGATGAAAGCTTGCGATCATGGATGCATCCAAGAGGGAGACTAGCACACAGCGAGGGGAAAGCACAAGGAATTCAACGATCACTGCTGAATAGAACAGAGGGGGAGGGTGGTGAAATCAAGGGATCAGAGGATTCGTCGGCGAAGGGGATGTTTTACCTTCTCAGCCAGGATTCTGTCCCCGACATCGAACGTCGGATACATGGACTTCGAGGGGATGGCTCGCGGTTCTGCCAGGCGCGAACCGTACAGCAGTGGAACTGCCAGAGCTGCAAAGACAGTCTTCGTCTCCGGCGAGCGTGAATCGATCCACCGATTGAGCCAGCCGCCCTTCTCGTAGGGTTTCTCAGTAAAGTAGATCATGTTCTCGTTTGAGGCGGAGCTGCTGGATGAAGAGGAAGCGGATGCCTCCCAATCGCCGTCGTTCTCGCCAGAAGAAACCGCGACGGCCTTGCCCGCCTTGTCGGCGACCACACTCTTCACAGATCCTTGGAAAAACTCGCTGCAGGGGAGCCACTTCGACCCGTTCACGAAGGAGAGCAGAGAGGTGCGCTTCAGTCCCAGGATTGGAGCGGAGGAGACACCCAGAGCGCCGGCACCGTGTCTGGCACCTCCGGATGCTGAGATCACAGAGATAATTCCAACCGAGAGAGACGGTTTTAGGTGTCCCCCGGTGGAATTCTTAGTGTGACCTGTGGAGACGGAGCTGTGGCTACGGGACGATATATGCGCCTTAGGATTTGGGTCCCCCGGCTTGGAGGCAACCCGAGGAGGCCTACACCGACTGTCACTGGCCCAGGAGGAGGTCACACGAGGAGACGACCAAGAAGCTGCAGATCGCCCCAAACCGCAGGGACGTTTACGGTTACCAGATCCCCGATCCCCGAATTCGGAGGCAGAAGACAGGCGATCCCTTCTAAAAGAATCATCGAAAACGGAAGCGTCGGCGCTGTGGGAGGCAGGCGCAGACAGGAATACCCGAGAAGACTTTCCAGCGGACTCTTGGAACAGCCGGCAATTAGCGCCGCAACGGATCGATGCCGAGGAGGCGATGCTCTGCGCCACATATCCGGAGAGGGAAATAGTTACCCTAATCGCCATGGTCGCAACCTCCGTGAAGCCGCGGACGATGTGAAGCAGCGGTAGACCGGAGAGGAGCTCGCTACAGGAAAACCAATCGCGGCCGCTGATCACTGGGAAGACATGGCGCCCGACTATGAGCTTGAATCGGCTACTGGATGGGGGAATCGGGTGAGCTTTTCGGCCTCAGAAGATGAGAAATCGCCGTAGAAACAGGCACGTGGAGATGATCGACGGCAAACCAGTGACACGCAGGCGGAGAGAGGATCCTCCTCCACCGAGATCTTCCTCTTCCCCTTGCTTCTCCCTCGCCGGAGAAGCCGAAGAGAGGAAGCAGAAGCAGCGGCAGAAGAGAGAGAGAGGGCGACGAGGAAGAAAGGGAACCAAGAGATCGGGAAAAGTTAATATGGACGCGGAGAAATGACCAATTGACCGATGAGCCCTCATTTGAGTGGATATTTATGGTATCATGCCCTTCTGAATCCACTGCCGTGTAGAAAGAGAGGTCTTTGGTGAGGCCGACAGAGGACGATTTCGGGAGGGCCACCATCACGATCTCCTGTACGGCGTACGATCATCGTCCTTCCGCACCCGGGATCCCATCGGACGGTCAGAAAACTCCTCCTCTAAGGGGCAAAATGGTCTTCTCCGAGACGACCTGCGGGTTTCGTTGAGGGCCACGTCCATAAATACCGTTGGTCAGAGGGCCATATCTAAAGCGTAATTGACCAATAGTGTTGACTCCATGCGTCTGACCTCCTTCCGAGTAGCTTCCTTTGAAAGCTTGCCATTTACAGCACGCGGTCCACGATCAGAAACCCGCGAGGCAAAGTCGGATCTTGCTACTGGTAGCTACTGACTTCTGCCTTTGTGGTAATATATTTCGGGCCTCGTTTGCATCCGGCCCGAAAACACTGCGCAGCCTCTCTCTCTCTCTCTCTCTCTCTCTCTCTCTCTCTCTCTGTGGGGCGATTGGGGCGGGCCTGGAATCGCATGAGCCTGGGCATGGGCTTATAGGATCATAGAAGCACATTATTATGAGAAAGGTAGGTTCTTTTTTAAATGGTAATCAAATTTGGACTATATTATCAATTATCCGACTTTCTTGCCCGTTTCGCTTATGGGTTGCGAGTGTAACGTCATCACGTACGTGTGGAAACGAATCGGGACGTAGCAACGGGTGCTGGAGCAGTTGACCGGATCTTAGAGCTGCCATCCAGTTGAATGGGTCGGTGGAGCCTACTGTGTTGTCAGCCCAGCTAAGCCGCTGTCCTAAAGTCGTCGGACAGGAGGACGTGTCAATGAGAAAAAAATTAGAAAATTGTTTTTCATAATCAAATAATAGGGAAAAAATCCCATACCAACTTTTGTTTTGACGTCACCATTTCCCGCATTTCTTTATACGAAAAATAGATAATTTCCAGGCGACACGTCAGCCTGGCGTTTTACAGAAAGACCCTCCGTATAGTTTCAAATCACAGATTTTAGCGGTGCAACAAGATTTTTTTGTTGCTGCGACCAGTAGAGCTGGTCTCCCTCCACTTGCAAGCCTGTCGTCGCCCGTAAAAAAAAGAAAGAAGAAGAGAAAGATGCGAACTTTCCGACTGAAACTTGACTCGTCCGGGCGGGGGTTCTGGGTGATGGTGGGGCGCGCTGGGCCCACCGCGGCGGGAATCTGGGAGCCGGCCGACCCACGCCGGACACGGAGAAACCGACGGCCGGCGGCGCGTTCTCGCCGTCCGGCCATCTTCCGAATCTCGAGCTTGCCGGAGAGCTCACCCTCGTCAACCTTCACGAACTCAGAGGCATTCATTATTAAACCCCGCACGGGGAGGTGGAGAGAGAGAGAGAGAGTGAATGACTGATAAGACCCTCTCTCTCTGTCTTTCCTCTGTCATCTCAGAACTCTGCTCCCCGCACTCTCCTTCTTTACCTCTTCTGCGATTGCTTGAGGAAGAAGGTGAGAAGGGGGAGAGATGGAGGATAGGGTGATGGGGGCGGCAGAGGCGGAGCTGGTCTCGATGGCGGTGACGCCGGAGATGGCGATCCCCTTCTCCGGCGAGCCCGCATTGATCGGCGGCGGCGGCGGTGGCGGCGGCGGCGGAGGAGGAGGAGGAGGGTCGCAGAATAACTCCAAGTCGTGGACGCCGACGGGAGGGGGATCGCTGACGATAACGCCGCGGTATCTGAGCCCGTCGTCGGCGACGCCGGTCAAGAGGGTGATGGTGAATCTGAGGGGGTACCTGGAGGAGGTCGGCCATCTCACCAAGCTCAACCCGCAGGACACGTGGCTCCCCATCACCGAGTCCCGCAGCGGCAACGCCCACTACGCCGCCTTCCACAACCTCACCGCCGGCATCGGCTTCCAGGCCCTCCTCCTCCCCGTCGCCTTCTCCTTCCTCGGATGGTGCAAAACCCTAACTCTAATCCTAACCCTCCTCCTCCTGTTCTCTCCCTCTCAGCGTGGAGCCGCTCATGACTCTATCTCTCACTGGGCTTTTGGATGGCAGGGCGTGGGGTGTCGTCTGCTTGACCATAGCCTATTTCTGGCAGCTCTACACCCTCTGGATCCTGGTGAGACTCCACGAGGCCGTCCCCGGGAAGAGGTACAACAGATATGTGGAGCTCGCCCAGGCGGCCTTCGGTAAAAGACCCAGCAACTCCTCTCCCCCTGCAAATCATTGAATTCAGACTAAAACCCTAATTATTCCCCCTCGTCCTCCCAGGGGAGAGATTAGGGTTGTGGCTGGCCCTGTTCCCGACGGTGTACCTCTCGGCCGGTACCGCGACGGCGCTAATTCTAGTCGGAGGGGAGACCATGAAGCTCTTCTTCCGGACGGTCTGCGGCCCCTCCTGCACCTCCGATCCCCTCACCACCGTGGAGTGGTACCTGGTCTTCACCTCCCTGTGCATCGTCCTCTCCCAGCTCCCCAACCTCAACTCCATCGCCGGGCTCTCTCTCGTCGGCGCCATCACCGCCATCACCTTCACCACCATGTCCTGGGTCCTCTCCGTCTCCCACCCGCGTCCCCCATCCGTCTCCTACTGCCCCCTCCGCCCCTCCGCTCTCTCCGTGCTCAACGCTCTCGGCATCATCGCCTTCGCCTTCCGCGGCCACAACCTCGCCCTCGAGATCCAGGTAACGCGCTGCACACAGGCACAGGCACAGGCACATGCGTTCCTCTTCCTTCTCCGACCTGCATTGGGTGGGCTCTGAACTTCGTCGTCGTCTTCCTCCTCCGCAGGCGACCATGCCGTCGACGTTCAAGCACCCGGCCCACGAGCCAATGTGGAGGGGAGTCAAGGTGGCGTATGTCCTCATCGCCATGTGCGTGTTCCCCGTTGCCCTCGGCGGCTTCTGGGCCTACGGCAACCTCGTGAGAGAACAAGCACCATCTTCTTCTTCTTCTTCTTCTTCCGATTTTCTTTGCCTTATTGATAATCGTTTTGCAATGCAGATGCCGGCGGGGGGGATGCTGAGCGCGCTGTACGCGTTCCACGGGCGGGAGGTGGCGAGGGGGTTGCTGGCCGCGACGCTCCTGCTGGTGGTGCTGAGCTGCTTGAGCAGCTTCCAGATCTACTCCATGCCCGTCTTCGACAGTTTCGAGGCCGCCGTCACCGGCCGCACCCGACGCCCGTGCTCCGTCTGGGTCCGCTCCGGCTTCCGTGTCTTCTACGGCTTCGTCTCCCTCCTCGCCGGCGCCGCCATGCCCTTCCTCTCTGGCCTCGCCGGCCTCCTCGGCGGCCTCACCCTCCCCGTCACCTTCGCCTACCCCTGCTTCATGTGGGCTCTCCTCAAGAAGCCCCCTCGCTTCGGCCTCAGCTGGTACCTCCACTGGGCCCTCGGCCTCCTCGGCATCGCCTTCAGCCTCGCCTTCTCCGCCGCCGGCCTCTGGAGCTTGGTCAACTCTGGCCTCCGATTCCGATTCTTCAAGCCCATCTAACTGACCTGAATGGACCTTCCCACGCGTTGACTCATCTTCTAGGGTTTGCGAAAATGGGCTCGGCGCTGACTGGCTGCCCTCCCGCCTCATCTTCCTTCCGACAATCAGCAGGCTCTGACCTTCCTTATCCAGTCCAAACTGTCTCAAGAGGTGGTCCCCCCCCTCCCGGCTCGAGTTGGGGGTATGAAATCAAGACAAGTTATAGAGGCGGCTTCTCCACAATTGTCATATTTTATAGGGTCTGAACACAAAAGTTTCACAGGAGGAATCTGTTTCGGTGATCCCAGCCGCCCCGTCTAGTGGGGCACGGGATTTCATATAGGCCCATTAATACAAATTAAAGGCCCATTACCGACTGCCCTCGGTGCGCACGCCACGTAATCCGAATCGTCTCGTCCCAAATGCCAGAGATGATGAGGACCTATCAGAAAAATGATGGATCCCAGACGATTCGCCCGCGATATTTTCCTCAATTTTTTTATTTACTTGAAAAATTGTAGAGAAGTCAACGAAGAATAATTGACCACATTCTCTCATCGCCTCACTGAGATTTAATCACGTGAGAGTAAGAGCGCTATAATCCCATTTAATTCAGATTAAATATAAATCGACCCCAGAGAGAAGATAAATACATCAATAAATATTAATTCTTCGAAAAAACTATTGATTATTACCGAGTAATTAAAAAATGCAAAAATAAAATAAAATAGTTGTCGCATATCTTGTTAGGTATGGGCAATGACGAATGCCACAGGTTAGGGGGATCTCTTGCCGCCCACATAATCCCTGCCGTTGACTTTACTATTCGGGTTGGGTTTAACTGCGACGGGAGGGGTTTCTTTATTGGGGGGGGGGGCGGCTTGATTTAGAAAAAATATCGAGTATTAAATCGGAAGGTCAACGGCAAGGGGGGCGGTGGTTGGAAGTCCTTGTCTAGACTTCAGTGAGGCCAATTCTTATAGAGGGATCTCCGCGGGCCCGGGCTGAGTTTCATAGTTGGGCTTTATCCGGGCCGAAAGACGGCTGGTGGAGCCTGTGACTGACGGCCGGGCCTTATGCGGATCGGGCGTGGGGCCCGTTTCGGGGCCCGGCTCGTTGACGCGGGTGGCTTTTTTACGGGATAGGCCCTCGGTAAAAGTCGTATTTTCATCGGTGGTGGAGAAGAATAAATAATGATAAATGTGGGGCGCGGGGGGCGACAGAGGTGGTGGGAAATAATCAATGCGGGCATGTCCGGGGGCCGGACCGAAACCTGAGGAGGTAATGGCGATGATGGGGCGGAGGGTGGACCGCTTTAAATGTGCTACAGTCTCTCACAGAAGAGAGAGAAACTAGAGTGAGAGAGAGAGAGAGAGACTAGTAAGCGATATAGAGAGAGAGAGAGGGCGGGTAGGAGTGCTGCTGGGTGGAGGGAAGAGGCTCACCCTGGGTTACCGTCTGTGGCTCTGCAAATGGGGTTGTGAACGGACAAAGTGCGGTGGTGGTCCTGGTCTAGGGTTTGGGGGATGCCTTCTTCCGGTGGGTCGCGGAGGGGGGGTGTGAATTTGGGGTTCTGACCCTGAGGAGGGAGGAGGAAGGGGATCGAGGATCCATCCATCCATCCATCCATCCATCCAGGAGAGGGCCGACCACCTCCCATGGCTTTCTAGGGCGGCTTCCTTCCTTTCTTCCTGTTTTTTTCCTCTTCCTTCCTCGGTGGGTTCTTCCTTGCTGGAAAGAAGGTGGAAGGGGAAGGGGATCTGATCCGGGCTACATGCGGCTGTCACTATGGAAGCCGATATCACAGTGCGCCGCCATGATCCTGGACAAGAAGGACCGGCGGCGGGATCCCTCGGACCTCTCCGACGATGGCGGGCGGAAGCCCAACCTGGTCCTCCGGCGGATCCAGGAGAGCAGGCTCCGGGAGGCCCTCGAGCAGGCCTCCGAGGACGGCTCCCTCTCCAAGACCCAGGACATGGACGACCTGGAGAACAACCCTCCTTCCCATCAAAGCTCGGGAGCCGCCGCCTCTGCCGCCTCGTTCAGCCGCTCCCGGTCGCTGGCCCGGCTGGAAGCCCAGCGGGAGTTCCTCCGCGCCACCGCCGCCGCCGCCGAGCGCACTTTCCAGACCGGGGACTCCCTTCCCGACCTCCAGGAGGCCCTCTCCAAATTCCTCACCATGTACCCCAAGTACCAGTCCACGGAGAGGATCGACCGCCTCAGATCCGCAGAGTACTCCCACATCGACGACGACGGCGGCCCCAGGGTCTGCCTGGACTACTGCGGCTTCGGGCTCTTCTCCTTCCTCCAGAGCCTCCAGCTCTGGGAGTCCTGCGCCTTCTCCCTCTCGGAGATCTCCGTCAACCTCAGCAACCACGTCCTCTACGGCGGCGCCGAGCCCGGGACCGCCGAACACGACATCAAAGCTCGGATAATGGACTACCTCAACATCCCGGAGAACGAGTACGGCCTGGTCTTCACCGTCAGCCGGGGCTCCGCCTTCAAGCTCCTCGCCGAGTGCTACCCGTTCCAGAGCAACAAGAGGTTGCTGACCATGTTCGATTACGAGTCCCAGTCCGTCAATTGGATGGCTCAGTCGGCGAGGGAGAAGGGGGCCAAGGTATACAGCGCCTGGTTCCGGTGGCCCACCATGAAGCTCTGCGGGGCGGAGCTCAGGAAGAAAATCTCCTCCAGCAAGAACAGGAGAGGGAGGAGGAAGAAGGGCTCCGCCGCCGGGCTCTTCGTCTTCCCCGTGCAGTCTAGGGTTACGGGAACCAAGTATTCGTACCAGTGGATGGCCTTGGCCCAGCAGAACCACTGGCATGTGCTGCTCGACGCTGGAGCTCTGGGCCCCAAGGACATGGATTCTCTGGGCCTCTCCCTCTTCCGGCCGGACTTCATCGTCACCTCCTTTTACCGGGTCTTCGGCCACGACCCCACCGGCTTCGGCTGCCTCCTCATCAAGAAGTCGGCGATCGGAATCCTCAAGAACAGGAACGGCGGCACCGGCACCGGCATGGTCCGCATTGTCCCCGAGCTCCCCCAGTATCTCAGCGACTCTGTGGACGGGCTCGACGGCCTGGAAGGGCTCGACGGCGACGCCGCCACCGGCGGCGCCGGAGATGAAGCCCTGCAAATGCCGGAGGCCTCCCGCAGAGGAGGGGCCACCCAACAGCTGCCGGCCTTCTCCGGGGCGTTCACCTCCTCGCAGGTGAGAGACGTGTTCGAGAGCGAGATGGCGGAGCTTGAGAACAGCTCCGACAGGGACGGGGCGAGCACCATCTTCGAGGAGACGGAGAGCGTCTCCGTGGGGGACGTGATGAAGAGCCCCGTTTTCAGCGAGGACGAGTCTTCCGACAACTCCTTCTGGATCGATCTGGGGCAGAGCCCCTACGGCTCAGACTACTCGGGGCAACTGGCCCGGGGGAGACCGCTCGGCTCCGCCTCTCCGCTCCCTCCGCCGCCGCCGTGGCTGAGCGGCCGGCGGAGCCACCGGGGGCTGTCGCCGAAGATCCCCTCCAGGGCCACCGCCAGGAGCCCGCTCTACGACGGGCATGTCATCTCCTTCGATGCCGCCGTTCTTTCGGTGTCTCAGGAGCTTGACCGGGTGAAGGAGGTCCCCGAAGAGGAGGTGGCGGATATCCAGGAGGAAGGTGGCGCCACCCCGAGTTCCAGGCCCCGGATGAGCTACGAGAACGGGACGGCGGCGGAGATATGCGAGGAGAGGGAAGCCACTGCCATTACGAAGGAGAGCGCCATCAGGAGGGAGACGGAGGGGGAGTTTCGGCTGCTGGGGAGGAGGGAAGGGAAGAACCCCATATTAGCCGGCGGCAGGTTCTTCGGCGTGGAGGAGGGGGAGGGGGCCCTGAGCATGGGCCAGAAGGTCTCCTTCACGATGGACGACAGCGGCAACCACAGGGAGACCCACAGCCGCGATCTTCAAGCGCCCGACTTCCTCGCCGGCGCCGGCGACGACGGCGGTCTCAGCGACGGCTACGACAGCGGCGAGCAGGAGGGGGACGGAAGAAGAGACCCAGAGATCGTCTGCAGGCATCTGGACCATGTGAACATAATGGGCCTCAACAAGACCACGCTTAGGCTTCGGTACCTCGTCAACTGGCTCGTCACTTCCCTGCTTCAGCTCCGGCTGCCCGGGGACGGCGCCGCCGGCGGGGCCCCGCTGGTTGAGATCTACGGGCCCAAGATCAAATACGAGAGGGGCCCCGCGGTGGCATTCAACGTGAAGAACGGCGGTGACGGCTCGCCGGTCAACCCGGAGGTCGTGCAGAGGCTGGCCGAGAGGGACGGCATCTCCCTGGGGATCGGCTTCCTCAGCCACATCCGGGCCATAGCGGAGGGGAAGCAGCAGGACGGGAAGAACGCCGTGATCCGGGTCGCCGTCGTCACCGCTTCCCTCGGATTCCTCTCCAACTTCGAGGACGTGTACAGGATGTGGGCCTTCGTGGCCAAGTTCTTGGATCCCGACTTCGTCCGAGGCGGAGGCGGCGGCGGCGGCGGCAACGGCGACGGCCGGTTGCCCACCGTTGCAGAGGGCGCGGAGAGCTGAGAGAATTCCCGCCGGCCGGAGGTTGAAGACGAGGATGAACCCGGATCGCCATCGATCTCTCCCCACTCCGCATCGCTTGTGCTTCCGGCATTCGATTTATTCATTCATGTGAGCAAGTCCCCGTAGATTTTTGTTCTGTTCTCTCCGGGTGCCTTGCAGAAGAAGCTGCCCAGAAGAACCCAGCCGCCCGACGCCGGCTCTGGAGGCGGCGAGATCCTCAGAGGCGGAGCGGGGTAGGGGGAGAAGGGCGGGTGTCGAATTGGGTTTAGCTCGGTTTCATTTTCCGCCGCTGGGAGAGAGAGAGAGAGAGAGAGAGAGAGAGAGAGAGAGAGAGAGAGAGAGAGCTGGAATAATGCATTCGAGTGACTAGTTTCTACAAAATATTACTCTGTTAATTAATTCATATGTAATCATATATTAATATTAAATTCTAAAATCAGACCGGAAACGTATTCTTCCAGTTCCAATCGACAATTCGGCCGACTATTTTATGAAATACGTTTATAAAAGTAATTCGAATGGTACGCTATCGTTGATTGAATGGTGTAGATAAATACGTTGTGACGAGCCGCCAGCTTCACTCTCTTCGCTGAGAAGGGCTGATGAATGAGATTGAATGGGCGAGGAGCCTGGGCTCTGCACAGTAGATCACTGAATTTCAGTTACTGAAGTATTATTCATGACATAGTCCATTATCCTATGACATAACTCGTTGGATGATTTATTAACCTTGATATATAATTTCAGTTAATTAAACTCATTTTAAATTAAGTATCTTGCCACTAGAGAAATCATCACAAAGTTTATAATCAATTACACTGCATAATATCATTCACACACACACACACACATAAATAAGAACAACGAAAAATAATAGTATCATTGCACCCTTTAAAAACATTTACTTTTGGAAAACTACAATATTTTATACTAGTCTCTTATTAGTGTCTTAAATCATGCAAAGCCTTGTATAGTTTAAAATTATGATTTAGGATATATTTTCAAAACCTGGTGGTTGTGGAATATAATCTTCTTTCTGATAAAAATAACTAACAATGTCACTTTTAACATTCATTAGAAATAATTCAAAGTCATAAACAAAAGAATATATGTAATCCTTGGATGATATCCAGTCTTCTACAATAGCATAGATTTCATTAAAATAATTTCTTTTTGCTTGAGGATTTTCTAAAAAAAATATTTAGTAAATGTCACATTTCGATTTTATAAATTGGGTATTAGTGTTAAAACATATTTTTATTCAAATAGATTTAATTATTCATGCATTGCATCAATCAAACTGTTATCAAGTAATGTATCATTTATAGCATTAGGTAGGTTATTTTATGCAAATGCAACAAAAATTGTAATACAAGCTAAAAAAGGATATACTTTGGATACCCTTTTATATATTCTGAATAATGTGTTCCTTATGCTGATTTCCAATTAACATCTAGTCCATAGGCAATGGGGATTTTTTTTTTTCTTCTCATTCAAGATCCTTTAAATAGACATGTCATGTCAAGGAGTTTAGGCAAGTTGATCTAAAAGTAAAGCATCTTTGATTATCTTCCAATCTGATATTTCAAAATCCTATGAACTTTCATTTACTACTTTCACATAAAGTTAGCTCTTCAAATTTCTTTATTTTGGAGTATATTTAACCATTCTTTCTGTCATGTCATGTGTCTTGAGTATCCATTGTACAACTCTTTTGGCCCTTATTTGAGGTTTCCCTAAAACATTTAGAATATAATTGAAGTGTGGGAACCAAAATTACTTCAAGTAAGGTTATGTTAGAGGGGGGCCCAAAAATGGTTTTTTAGGCTTTCCCACTTTGAACCATATTTTGAACACAAAGCAGTCAACAAACCTGTCCATTACAAAGGCCTTGGCAAGCCTTTACAAACACAATTACATTGGGAAGCTTTCACCAAACATAAAGCCCCTAACAAGCCTATGGTGGTGGACACAAAAACCTCAACAAAACCTTTACTGAACATAAAGGCTTCAACAAGTTTATTATGAGTAAAACGACCTCAGCAAACCTTTACTAAACATAAAAGGATCATAGAGCCTACACTGGATTTATTGGCCCACAGAAATATGAGACAAGTTAATAACAACTTCATGATCATCCATGTTTAACACGTAGCCTTTCTTAAATGAATTTCTTTGCACAGAGATGGGCAAGCAGCTTTTGGGTGTGAGATTATGAATGCTTGAGTATCAGCTAGTTTTGCTTTTCTTTCTAGTGTCCAATTCACTTGCAAAGCTTGTGTAAACACTTTTGTTGAAGTATGTGATTATTGTAGCCCTCCTCCCTTTCTTCATTATTTTTTTGATGTGGGCTAAAGTCCATTATTTGTTGAGCATTCGGCCATCGAATCAACATTTAGAATGAATGAAAATTAGGCCATTATCTGTCACATAAGCCTGGATTTAAGCTTCTTAAAATGCTTTTCAATCTTGTAAAGTTCATAACAAACTATAATCTTCAAATTTTGTTGATGTTCAAGCTGAATGCTTATCTTACGGTTAAAACCTATAGCAAAATGTTTCCAGAATATTTGAGATATCTAAAGGCCATTTTCACCTTTGTCATATTTTCCTTAATTTGATTCTTGATTCCGTTTATTGTGATTTATGCTAGATGGTTGAAATAAGTTTCACATTCTGATACTACTAGATTACCCTCCTACACATTTGTCATCATTGGAAGTCTTAAGTTTCTCAAAGCCAACAAGTTCATCTTGAGATCAAGGGAAATGTTGCAAAGAAGTTTGAGCAAGGGAAAGGTAAGGGTGAAAGGGAGCACGAAAGGGGTTTGGGTGGTGGAGATTATGATAAGAGAGCAAGGTGACACTTAAAAGGGAGCTCTATAGCAGTGAAGTTATGGCAAATGGCAAAATTCTGTGGACTTGCACCTATGACTGAAGAGAACTATATCTTTCTACTAAGAATTAGATCCAATTGATCCTAGAAAAATTATATCAATTAGAAGCAAAAACCCACTTCAAATTGTATATAAAGATATGATTATCCTAAATTTACTCTTATCAAATGGGCACATATTACTTTGCCAAACATAAGGTAAAAGGTAATCATTTTCATCACCTTAAAAAACTTTATAAAGATTAATTGCATTGAATCAATTGATCCAATTTCTTGAATGCTGACCTTAGAGATGGATAATGTTGGATTCTTCACTATCCACAATTATAAGTGAAGTTAAGATTAGTAAACTCTAACTCAATATTACACAAAAAACCCAAACATAGTTTGAAAATTAGGGGTTGATAGTTGACCTAGAGGGCACCACACATAGGTCATAAATAGTTTAAAAATTATTACCAAAAATACTCCCAAAATTATGTCATTGTGTAAGAATATTATTATAAATAATTCACCTTATCTCATGCAAAGCTAAGTAATTGACAAAGGTTCAAATCTTATTATAGTCATACTTTATGTTTTGTATCTGATTAAATTGTGGTTTTTCTATAGAATGTTGGTCAATAATTAAGCCACCAAAATTATTCAATCATCAATGAAAACTTCTTTAACACTATTCATAGATCATTGTTAATAACTAAACAAATATTTTAAATATAAAAATATTTTTTTAAAAAGAAAATCATCTCTAGTTGAACGTCAAACATGCTATTGTTGAGAACAAGGTGATTTGTGAAGAGACGAGCCGCCATCTCTTCAAAACATATTAAATGTATCTCCCTAAGATATGCTCCACCTTCATCCAACTTATCTCTCTTGGGTGATAGGTGCTAGAAATCCAAAAGTCACCGAGCTTTTGCTTTACTATGTGGTAGTTGTTGAAGATGATTCATTGACCCACCTCGTCAATTTTTAAATTTCATTAGAGGATTTAGAGATTGTACATATTGCCAATGTCTAAGGAGAGCCTTTGGGGTCATATACCTTGTATGAAAATCTTCTTAAATGCTCAAAATTCTGACAATCACTATTGAAATGTTAGAAAACACTATTTTTTATTTTAAAATTATTTATTTTTAAATTAGTGAGATTTTGTGTAGTTTTAAGTTTTGAAACTTTTCTTTAGTTAATTATGATTCTATTTGTTTTTATAGATCTTAATTTAATCAATTAAATCTTCTATAATCACTTATCTAAGAATCATCGAGTATAACTTTATTTTTTCTTGAATTATAGTTGAAGTACTGAGATCATCTTAACATCAAAACTAATTTTTTATTTTTTTATTAATTTTTTAACTAATTTCTTCATCATTATTCAATATAAAAATCATAAAAAATATATTATTTTTAAAATATTTGAAATTATACTTGATATCATCTTACATCACATCTAAAAAATTATTATTATTTTTAGAGCCTTTTGTTAAATTATAATTGATATATTCATACTGAAATATTTCTAAAAATTCAAAAATTAATATTTTCTACTTTTATAAATTTTAAATTTACATGATTTATTATATAATGATTACACCACATCAAGCACCATTGATAGGGATATATTAGATAATATTTGATATTTGTCTTTTTCTCTTGACATACACAAACAATCTAATTATTGTTTCTAGTTTCTTCTTGTAGATAAAAAAAGGAAAACAAAAGAGACAACCATGAGGATTAGAAAGACAAGGATTATATCAATCGAAGGAGGGTAACTTATCCTCAAGTTTTTTTAAAAAATCTATATTAAAAATTATGGATAATGAGTTATGGTATTTTTATGATTATTGTGTGTCCAATGAGTTTAAAACGAAGTAATATGATTATAGCTCAGTCAATTCATTGTTCCACCTTAGATTTTGAGTTAAAGTTTAGTTCTTTTGATAATTTTTCTGTAGCCTCTTTAACACTTTATGAGCCTACATCATTTATCATTAAAACAATGTAGAATCACATTGTTTTTACTTTGATGCTCAATTTGCTTCACCCACATTTGATGAACATCTTATAGGGAAAAATACTTTAATGAATTAAAATTTTCAT